AAATCTGTATCAACCTCTAATAATCCAATCTCTCTTCTGCGGCAAGTGAAGCACTCCAGTTGGTTTAACCTTGACAATCATGTGAGGTCAGATTTAAGGGCTTGAAATGAATTAAAACTGCACCAATATCTTAAAATGAAATTGGCTGGGGAGAGTGTTGATTTCAATAGACAAACCTTGTCTTAAAACTTGTAACCTATGGCGAACAATTTACTCTGTTTCGAAGAGCGCCTAACAACTGATATCACCTCTACCTCGGAAACCGACCTCTTGGTCAAGCACTTCCATAATTTTAGGTGTCACGGTAAGCATAACTCATATTTTGCAATTTGGTCATCCTGCCTCTAAACACGTTTCAGTGACCTTGAAACACAAATTAGGTGAGAAGTGTTAAAGGATGATTTTACTCACATACTTGTTTACTTTTGTTCCTACTCGATCCAAATAATTCCGCTTGCGATGCCTCCTTTTTGAGATATCGGCCGAGCTTCTTTAATGTCCCTTTTCCTGAGGTTGCAGCGATTAATCAGACCCACAAATGAGAGATCGTTTGAAAAAAATAAACAAGCCAATTTTACTATTTGGCCGTCCTTAGAAACCCACCCGCTGAAAATAAATATAGCAACTAACTTATCAAAACACTTAGAATGTTTAACCGAAAATTAATCGTAGCGGAGAGTCACAAGGGAATAGGCCAGTACATCCAAGGAAAGGATGCTGATACTTAGGTTACGCAGAGTTTAATACCCAGCCTAGGATCATCTAGTTTAGTACGTAAGTCAGTATTGAATGAAAGTACTCTTCAGTATGTGGCTTTTTTATGAAAAAAAAAAGCGATTCATGAGAGCTTCATTCCCAATCTAAAAGTCTATAAAATTACTCCGTATTTTTTAACAATGAATAAAATGCAGGCTTATATATATTTTCGCTCTAAGGTAATTCAAGAAAGACTTGTAGAATGAGAACGATCTCGTCTTGAAAACAACAATCAATCTCAAGTAGAAAAGGAAAAAAGGAAAAAACGCTGAAGTATGAAATTGCTTAGTATCTTCAGTGAATGAATAAAGAGAGGCTTTTCTTGATTCTAAGTTTACTTTGATAGTTGTTTGATTTCTAGTTCCTTTTTACTCTCTCTCTCTTGCTTTCTCTCTTTTTTATTGCAAAATATGACAGTTTTTGAGAAAATTTTTCCAAAGATTTTACTTGGCACCAAGCAGAGAATTTCAGATATGTATACACGAATTTTTTTTTGATACTTTGCTTAAATAACGGTCACTCGTTTGAACAGTTTACCCATTAAAAATGACATTAAAAAAGGAGACTAAAAATATGAATTTGATGTGAGCGTTTCATATTCAAAAAAGGGGGTTAAAATGTTTAATTATTCTGTCAAAGATCTTCAGTCACAACCAACAATGCATAGTGCAAAGATATCACTGTTGTTTTCAATATATAAATTAACTTTACATCATTCATAGAAAGGTTCGAATCAACAGGATATACACGAGAAAAGGCGGGGAATCTATCCTGGGAGTTTTTCTTTGAATTGAAATTATCAATCATGACTTTACGCTAAAAGCTCGTGTCCTTTTGATGTAAAAGAAACACATGCTTTCTTTTAAGTTTCTCTACAGAGACCAAAACGTGATCCACCCATTAAGCTAATATGAAAAGATTGTTTGTGAGTCGATTTTTCTTTATTTGTAGATCAAACGATAAGTGAGATTTTCAAATTCCAGTTCCTTTAGGGTAGGAACTAGGTCTGAAAAGTAGCCCTCGAGACGTCTCTTGATTCTATTTTCTATGAGCGCATTACCATTCATTTACTTTCATTTTGGTGCGGGTCATTAATAATCCGCTGAGTTAACTATTATTTTCAAAATCCTGAAAAATTGATTTTATCTCTTCAAGACCCCTGCGGAGTTTTCCAAGGGTCGAAACTCTGTAAATCACTTTTTTACATAATCACAGAAGAACCTCCATTTAAATAATCATGCATTATGTGTCCTTCTAAAGGCCTTTTTCTAATCTCCACTTTCCTATCAGATTAAACCCTGTTTTTTAAAAAAAATTAAGGTACAGCCGCAACACCTGAAAGATCTTAAACAAACTCTTTGACAGCTCTAGTCCCCCACAGAGTTTGTCTGCATCCTACACTACTTCATTAGGATCATTGTTAAAAAACTTATTTTCCTCTTTACAACACCTGAAAAGAGTTAAACAAGTTTTGCATTCTCGTGTGGACTCCTATTGAGTTGTAAAGCTGGCTGAGTGATAAACTACAATTTTTGGTATGACGTTAGATCTAACTATAAAACCTAAACACAGCACATACGAAAAGTGAACCGTACTCGGGACATCACCTGGATCTAAAACTAATCCAAAAAGTTGACCAAGAGGCACCCAACCTGGAAATTCACTGTTTTAGTACAAAAACGTGATTAAGATTATTTTTTACCGTCGACTCTTTATTAAACTGCTTATCAACAAAACCAATATCTCTATTGCACTGAGAGTTTTTGCTATTAACAACTTTTATTTGCTGGGTAACAACCAGGTGTCTCAACAAAAATTGATATATTTAACATACATAACGTTTTTTCTCTTTGTTAAGAATAACTGAGAGTACCACAGGGAACTGTCTCCATTAGCAGCCTCTAAATAGATGGCCTATGTTTCGTCGGTAAACATTTCATATCTTGAAAGCATTAGTGTGGCATTGCCATAACAAGACAAAGCTGATGACTCAAAAGTGAAACCTGTTAACAAATCCTACATTATGGACACCATATCGTGTTTCAAAACATATATTTAAAACGACTCATTAACAATTAATTTGTTGTTTGTAAAAGAGACTGCTTAAGGAATTTGAAATCACCAGACAAGAGAATACTTCTCGATTTCACTCAGAAACGAAATTATTCTTTTAGATGTATGTTCTTTTCTTTTACATACTCATAAGCTGCAAGTTTTTCAAAGCCAAAACGAGTGACTTTGAATTTGGAATTTAGACTCAAAATCTTGTTTTTATTATTATTTGTCATTAAAACGAGATAGCGGTACGTATAAGCTTTTAATATGACATGAAACAAAAATAGACTAAAAGTAGAAAGCACAAGGTATTTCCAAACAGTGTGACATAATCCAGTGAAAAATGTTAATGTATTGTCTGTTACCTCACGCTATTAAATTTTCCCTTGCAATAAATGACAAATTCCGTCCGAGAAAAAAGAAATATATATATTTTAAATTTTTCTTTCCAATTTGATATTTTGGTTACCTAACTAGTTGTTTTAAATTATTTGGGAAAACTTCAGTTTAAAAAATATTGTTTCGTCAGTGACTTAAAAGTTTTTCGTAATCATTTTTCATCAAATGGAACAATTGATTTATCATACAGTGATGTTTAAAAGATATGCTTCTTTATTCATTTGGAACGAGTGCCTTGTGTGAAAATGAATGAAGATGAGACCGTTATCATTCTCATTTCTGGCTGACGATGAGTATTTGGAGAGCTTCTCGATGAATTTCATTTCCTAGACTCAGGATGTCACAAAAATACCACTCACCAAATGCTTTCTTCATTGTTTGCACGGTAAATTTCAAGGGAGATAACCAACAAATATGAGATTTTCCATCGACAAAAGAGCTTTCGAAAATTACTTTTCTTTGTCGTAATTGCATAATTGCACATGAACTTTTACTGCTGCCGTCTTAGTGTCGCCTTTCAGCGCTTTGTTGGCTTGGAAAATTACCTTAATTAACCCTGACTCACACAAGAAGCAATAACTGGATGGTCATTTGAAAGGTTTATGGAAACTCCTCAATACCTGAGTGATTTCAAGTGTGTTTTGTACTTTCAAAATAAACTTTCAGCAGTAATTTTTCTTTTCCACTCGAAGTTGTTAAAAAGTTTAATTAATCAAATGAATCTTGATCAATTTGGGGGGAAAATCCTTTTTTCTCTGTATGTTTTGTTAAACGAAAGTTTGCCGGTGAAGCGATATTATGTGATCCAGGCGAATGGTCTTTTCTTGTCAGTTAGACACCTGCGCCACAGCGGGGCAAAGGAGATATTTTCTGCGCGCGTCATTTTCTTTAATAATAGTCTTTGACACATGTGTCATTTGAACCTGTAGAAAAGAGCAAATAAAAAGATTCTTATCAAAATGCTGGTATACAGATTTTAAGCAATTTTGGAATCACTGAACAATTTTGTACCGAAGTGTTAACTATCGGATTCAATAATTTAGCGCCTTCTGTCACAGCTAGTGAAGTAAGTCGATATAAATCATTTCACGTAACGGCTGTATAACTTACGGTATGCCACCTTTAGCGAAAGAACAAAACTCTTTTGTGAAAAAGGAGTAGTTATTTGCCTCGAACTTTAAAGTACACAGACTGGTAGCTGCTTCAAATTAGGATACCCGCTATGTTAACGCTTGACCGAATGTGTTCATATACTTAACATTTTCCACCCACAAACATGATGATACAAGGTTGACTCATGTCAGAACTTGATACTTTAGGTAAGGATGTTCTACGTAATCAAGTAAAAGCTTCAGTTTTCTTTCAGTGCGTTCAAGACATTATATTCCATTCAAGGTTGTAAAATAGCACGAACCAATTGTGACACAACTTCATTCCAGTCACATCTATACAGTCGTGAAAAGCTATTTCTTAAACTATCTTGAAATCAAGGATACTAAAAAAAATTATCTATGGTTTTAAATCAGGCAAAATCTAGGCCGTTTTAATTTGTAGCTATATTGGATTTAAGTCAGATGAGTTGGCGACTAATAATTGTACGCTGGCTTACGTGATAACATGCAACTCACGTTCTCATTGGACACACAGTCCCGCGCCGTGAGTGGTCGAACAAGAAACACAATGAAACCCTTTTAACATAATGTAATTGACAGTTGTATTGTCTGTTCTTTGTTTGGTATTTTAGTAACCTATGTAGTAAGTAAAACGTGTTTCTACTTATAACACTTCAGGTGGCGTTGGTCAGGGTTTCATAAAACACATAACGAACACGCTGAATAGTGGGACGACGGGCCGAGCACAACTAGGCTTATCATCGCGTTTCAGGTAAGAAAGAAGCGTTTTGATTTTTAACTTTTAAGTAGTGGTTCTCCAGATCGCACACCTTATTTCTCGCTTGTAAGAGGTTATACATGAATATTTAAGTTTGCAGCGTTGTTACCAAAAGTTTGTTCTCCTTTCGAATAACAATTCGACGTAATCCAAACTCGATTTCTGCCCTTTTCTTCACGGTAAAGATGATTGTACGTGTTGTCCAGACTCTAAGGACTCGACCAGCTAAATGGTTGTAGAGATGAAGGAAAAAAGTTTTGACCATTTGAGTAAAAGCTTTATTTGTAATTTAAGTTCACCCTGAGGACATAAAAGTCATGATTTTTGTCATAAAAGTCATGTTATGTCATCGAACCAATCTCCCCAGATTTAGCGACAAGAAAAATTTTTGGTTATATCGTGTAGACGGCCTCACGAAGGAGTAGCTTTCAAAATATTTTTACATAGAAATATTTATTTTCGTGACTTTTGGTTGCGCTTTGATCTGTCTGTTTAACCTTGAAGTGTACTCTTTTGTATAATGTTACGGTAAAAAGTAATGGAATATTCTGGCGGGCAGATTGTTGAATGTGTACACTTAAAATAGCTGCTATTTTTAGCCAAGATGGCATGAAATGATGAGCACGCGAATTTTTGGAAAGATACTTCTGGGCTAGCGTTGTCAGGTTTGGTTAAAACAATGTTTTTCTAAATAGGTGTCCGTTACTTTAGAATAAATTATTCACAGATCGACCGTTCTATTTTGGTTTTGCTGCCGCGAGGAGAAAAAAAATGACGTTCTATTTTTGTAACAGGCTTGAATTGATAAGTAATCGAAGACGTTCTTACAAAAAAAAAGCACGATAAGCAACTTCCGACTAAATTGTACAGTACAGCTACGCAATGCGAACCTATGCGGCGATTCATTTGTATGCATTTGTTTCGAGCAGTAATAATACATTGTTGCGATATGGCGTTGTATCTAGAGATGTGTTTTTGTAGTGAACAATGGGACGTCAACAACATAGAACCTATCATAGGTTTTTATTTGTCAGAAGTCGGTTTGCGCTGCAGCTAAACGCCTTAAAAAGTTGATTAGGCTTGTAGATGGTTGTTATCTTTTATAGTCAAAAGGATCTTTGTTAGTAGTGTGCGTTGCTTCATTTTCACGTTTTCTAAACAGGTGAGCAAAGTCCGTAAAATCTGTGGCTATTTTGTGATCGCGTGTGTGTACACTTGCACATCGCGTGGTCTGAAGTGCGTGTTCGCTCATACGTGACCACTCCTGAACGCAATCGATTAGACCGAACACATTGACGGCGGCTGGGATAGTCACACGCGCCCGAAAATTCTTATTTCATCGCCATTAAACGACAGCAGTTTTAGCTATACGAAAAAAGTATCAGCTCGACAAAAGCGGAGACCATTTTGTCCGTAAGATACAACTCACAGCTGGTACTGTTTTATTACACGAAGAAGAGTTTTAATGTTCATTCTTTCTGGCTGGAAGCCTATTCAAACTTACTCGGTTGGGTACCACTGAAGACATTGTTTAAACATCATGTTTGCAACTTAAACCATGAAACTAGCAGTAATCTTACAAGGTGATAAAAGCTATGCTCCGATTCATCGCATTGAATTAGACTGTTTATCATTCAAATACCGCAGCCTCAGTACGTGAGCAATCGGCAATGCTTAGGACATCATGGGTCAAACCCTAAGATTACGAGGGTGTTGGCTAAACGCCCGAAAAATTCAAACCGGATCTTTTGGGGAGTAGTTGCTTTTTTTTCCCTTCCCTTGACTGATAGCGTGTGACTCACATGCCTAAGAAAAATAAAGTAAACAAGCAGTGCCAAGAAGTGTAAACATTGACTTAGTTGATTAGCTGTCAGACACTTGGTTAAGTAGGAGATATTACTAGTCAGCTTAAATCTGTCGAAATATTCTATATACGTGATACTACAATTTGAGAAAGAGCATCACTTACGCTAACTATCTAATATAATACTCAATGGTCTCCTTTACAACACGAGTGGAATATTTTCGGAGTATAACCCGTTGCTCGGTTACATAAACTTCCTCTAATGTAACAAAAACGACTCTACAATATTGTTTCTTTTCTTCCTAAAACTTAGAGCTTTTATTAACAAATTTTCTTTATCTTTTCTTGTACCCTGGAGGCAGCATTTCTCATTTGTGAGTCAAATTTTTGGTCAACCATTGAATCGACGCTAAAATCAAGTCATAAGTGATTTTAACTGTTTACATTAGCCGGTGCGTTGAGTAACGATTTCAGTTTACCGTTGTAACGTTTCCTTTCCTTTTCATCTGAGCCTGAAAAAAAGATTCAAGAGAGAAATCATGCCCTGTTATTTAATACAGAGTCAAAGTAACTCCATATGCTAAAACACAATAGGCTTTAGGACTCCGCTGCATGCAGAGGAAATGATATTCAAAGATATAGGATAAAATGGTGTAATTAGTGTTCTGTGAGAAACAAGCCTTTGTGGTAGCTCGCCGTCATCAAAACTCAAGGAATAGTACTTCTGTACATGTTTCTTCGCAATAAAAGGAGTATTTTTTCGCTTTTGTGTTTTCACGTCGACATTTCTCTGCTCCTTCCAGTTTGAAAATCTTTATTTTGTGTGGAATTAAAACAAGTCATTAAAGAGATTTTCAGAATTAGCATTGCATGATTTTAACAAGAACGCCCGATTTAAATTCGGGGGAATTTACAAGTCAAAACCCCAAAAATGTCTCTCTACATAAGCCTGTTATCATCGCCATGTTAATTAGGTTGTGATGAAAGTTTTTAGCGACATCGAAACCCCAGATGAAGCGAAGTCTGATGGAGTCACGGCAGTTTTTTTCTAAGAATTTTCTTTCTGTATTTTCATTTCACATGCAAGGCCACACGAACTGAATATATCAGAATCACCACTAACGCTAGTAATTTTAATCAAAGACACATTGATGTAATGTCAGGACTTGTGCTTTCAAGCTGAAACAGGGATGTTTAGTAGAAAACAGAGATTTAAAAAGTTGTTTAGAATCATGAAAAGAATACCTCCTCTGTGAAAAACATTCAAATCAGCGCAAATGGTGTTGATTTCGGAAACAGGTTGTCGACAGTTGTTTAAATAATTGTTTGAGACTTACCCATTTTTTGTCATATCACACTGCATTAATTCAAGTAGTTTACGGATGAAATTAAGCGTTTGAACAACAAAACCAAGAAATACTTATTCGCGTCATGAAGGAGGCAATATTGTCTGAGCGAATTTAATTTTCTCGGTGATGAAAAGTGTGTGCCTCTTTTAACATTTCAATCTTGTTTTAGATTTGTCAAACGAACGTTTATGAACAACAATAGAAAATGCACATCTGGTTTTGTTTTTTAACTTCGTGAAGTCTAAAACAGTTGGCGACGCGAAAACAGGATTCGCTCGGATTAAGACTGAAATCTTTCCAACCCGGTTGTTTTCTCCGACGAAATTTCGCGTATATCTCTGGATTAGACCTGAGGCTAAATATACTCGGGGAGTCTTGCATCGCCTTCTCGACTTATCAAATCTTGTTTTTGTAGTGTTAACTTCGGTGATTGCAGTCAGTGATTTTTGGTGAGATAAAAGGTCGTGTCAGATCGAACAGCTCTCACTGACCAATTGTCACGGCTGCAAAAGTATCATGGCTGAGATAAGATACGCGCCGCGGAGTTCTAGAAAACATTTCGTATTTTCTTCTCGATTTTTCCGATTAATTCTTCGGTCTCCTTCGAGTACCGCAGGAAAGCTATTCCATCCCTCATTATATGCATAAATTATTGCCCTTAGACCAAGAGGAATAGTGACTCACTCCTCAACATTAAGAATGAAACATTTCCCAAGAAAATATGCGAAAAATTATGAACTCTGAAGTTGTCTACGACTGGAGAGGTTTTTGAGCTTCAGTCGCTAAGTAGATTTAGCGTATTTAGCGCCAAATGTATCTGTAATCATCGCGAAAATATTTTTAAATCTTAAAAATTTACGTACTGTGTTTGAAACCGATCTACTGTAAAAACAACCGTTTCCGATACACGTAGTTTAATGCTCCAAAAACCATTTTATCACGTTTAAATGATCCAGTCGTTTTTCGCAGGAAACAGGAAAAAATTAGCTGCGAAACTGCCGATTGAGCACTTCATTTTTTCTGCTTTTCTTAATCTTCGCATACTTGACGGTGTTCAACAACTAAGAAAAGTAGCAATCCTAGTTCGAGCACGAACGAGAAAGCTAATTTGTAGCTTACATGCATTTTCCAGAGCTCAAAAGGCTTTTGAGGTGTAACTGAGTCGTTCAATGACTTTTAACTTTAGAACTGTAAGAGCGACCTTTGGATCAGAGTGAAGTAGACATATATAACTGAAATGCCATATTTAAATTTACGTTGTCTAAAAAACAGTTAAAAGCTACTTCATCATCTGGTGAAGTCTTGGTTATACCTTTCAACTTGTGATCGATAAGTTATTGCGGATTTTCATAGTTTTGTTGCCAGTATAAATTCCCGTCTGTATTATATCATTGGGACAATCTTCAGCCCGTCAAGTGACCTTTTGAAAACATTTTTAACACGCTTTACAGTATATTTTCTATGTACAGCCAACATTGGAAATGTTTGGTATTTTAGCGACGTGCTTTAACACATACCAAAATCTTAAAATACATTTAATGATAGAAATATAGCAATTCCCAAAATAAGAATTACGACCTTCGAGTGAAGAAAATAACGGATGTACGATTTTCCTAGAACTGATGACATTTACACTTCTTTTTCCTGCGTTTGTTTATGTAATTTCTGAGAAGTGAAAAGTGTTTAACATGTAAGCACTATTTATAGAGGCCAAATATTGCTTATCTTACCCTCAGTCATTTGCCTGTAACAATAATCTGGAAGGAATTCAATCAAAGATTAGCTGATCTTTGCATAACATGTCGCAGAAGAGCTAGCTATTTTATCTTCGGCGTGATTCG